TAACAGACAGACAGACAGACAGTAACAGACAGACAGTAACAGACAGACAGACAGTAACAGACAGACAGTAACAGACAGACAGTAACAGACAGACAGACAGTAACAGACAGAACAGACAGACAGACAGACAGACAGACAGAATTAATGATGAGTGATTAAGTTCTAGTGTGGCTTTTGTGGAAAAGTAACGCTGCTAAAGAACAAAGCTGATTAAAGGTTAGTTAAGAAAAGATATATAAACCTAATAAGAGGTGATGAAGCCTCGTCTTTACAATATAATAATATTTGTTATTATATAATAATGATTAAAATGTATTATAATCATAAATGTCAGTTTATGTATCGTGTTGTGAACTCACCCCACTTGTTGCCGACCAGAACCGGACAGGCAGCGTGTCGGGTCCGATAGTCTCCTTCTCCACTGGGGAACAGATTGTACCAGAACACCGCCGTCCCCTGGAGACACACACGACAACGTCCCGTGAGACAGAACTTCTGTTTGCTTCCTCATATTTACCGTCTTTACACAGGAAGCCGGACCCGGGACCAAACACAATCTCAGAGGCCGACAGGGGATCCAGTACCGAGGTGGTTTTGTTGCCGGGTTTGGCTCCTGGTGTCCTGAGGCTGAGTCAGTAACTTAACTGACCGAGCTAACAGCAGTTAGTGTGAAAGACCTAAAACAGGACGTCTCTGTTGGACAGATACTGGAGGACAGGAGACTCACAGACACAGGAGATACAAACACTCATACTGACTTTGACACAAGATACAGATACTGCATACAAATATACAAATATACAAATATAACATATAACACAATAATCTCAGACTCAACTGAAAAGGAGAAAATAAAACAGGAAAGAAAGAGGAAAAATAAAATGTGAGAGACCATTTAAAGCAGCACTGCACCTTTTTGGGCCAGACAGCAGCTCCGACATCCGTGAAGACTGTGGCGCCCCCTGCCTGCACATCACTCATCTGCAGCATGAAGGACACAGTTCATCATCCAGCAGCACAGAGACGCTTTCACAATAAGATCAACACAGTGATTCATACTGACGTAAAGCAGCCAGGTGGCGATTCTGTTTCCTGTCCCCAACTCTTCGAACGCGTCTGGTTCGTCTTTCTGAAAACACAAAACAACAACGATTACACTGATAAACAGGAAGGGAATATCAGCCAGTGGTCGTTTTGTGTTTGTACAGACAATTTATTTGCATCATGTTTGACACCGTAATGCTGATAAAGGAACTTTACGCTGGCGAAACTGTGATTATTGGTACAAACTTATGTTTAATACTGTTAATAAGTAATAGTATTACTGCTGCTAATTACTATTTTATTATAAATTAATCTGCCAACTAAAACCCCAAAAATTTTATTTTATTTCTTACATTTTTCGATATATGACGAAGTAAAGTAGAATATTCACACCTTTTATTTTGTAATTTATTTAAAGATTCCCACAATAGTTAGATTGTATTGTTCTGACTCAGCTTCAGATACTGTAAAGATCAGCAAATATGCATCAGACACCATATAAATAATAAATAGATAATACATCTTAGTTAGAACTAATGCTGTTGTGTCTAAATGAAGTGAACTCTCTGTGTTCCTCCAACCAACAAGAAGAAAACTTTATTTACCCGCCCAAAGTCAAAGTGAGGTTCGTACTGTCCTCCGACTCCGTAGTTCGCCACCTGCATGAAATATCAAAGTCAAAGTCAGCTTTACTTCACATGCACCAGACATACAAGGAATCGAGAGGACGGTGAAACAGAAAGTGCACAGACAGATGAGACATTTACTAATGCTATAAAGATAAAGAAAAGAAGCACAATAAAATATAAAATATACAATAATATACAATATACAATACTTATGGTAATGGCAGCAACAAAATTATTTAGAATTCTGTAAGATACATTTGAACATTAAGAGTGCAAAACGTTAAAGTCTGAGCTCTGAATCACATCTGATATCTTTATTGAGAAGATCGTCACAGTTAATATATAACAGATTATATATAA